AGCAGGAATTTCTTAACTATGTCATCTATTTATTCACACTAAAAATAATTGGGATAGAGAGGGAAGTATTGAGAATTAATGTGACAGTGTGATCAGAGAACTTCAAAAACTATACAAAATAAGTTTGGGATACTTACTGTTTCTTATAATTTCTTCTACTGTTTGTCATTTTTATAGCACTCAGAAATATCTTGACTGCTTAGCAATACATTTAAAGAGCACGATTTCTTTTCTACAGAGCTTAAAGTCTAAAGTTTAATATATTGCACAGAGTGAATAAACAGAAGTTGCATGTGGGGAGGAAGGGAAGTAGTTACAGGGACCACGATGCTTGGAAGATGCACTTTGACCAGACACAAATATCATTCTTGTTTTGGAGCAATGACGGCATTTGACAGCATACTCTATTAAGGGGATCGGTCCGTTCTGGCCTTAAAAAACTATGAATCAATCACAGCTCAGGAAGCTGTGCAGCTTTGGCAGACGTTAAGATCTGAAAACTTCAAATACTTGTGTGAAGCTTAGCCGAACACCTCCCAGCACACAGACCAACTTTGTTCAGGACGGGGAGGCTGCTGCGAAGGTTTTGGCAGCAGCTTGGCAGAGGTGGGAGGTGCTCCGCATGCCTTGCTGGCATCTCTTCTTCGGGTGCGGTATGGGAAAAGCAGCACTAGTTAAAGAACCTGCTGGGCTTAGTAAGGAATTTGTTTGTTAATCTTTGCAAAGCACTTTGAAGTTGGGGAGGAGGTGGGACTCAAAAACCTTTATAAATGCCTTTTTATGTTGCTAGGCAAAATTCAGCAAAGGAGAAAGGACACAGCGTGTGTGATTTCTTTCTTTCCGTGGGCGGAGGGCTGCCTTTTACGACGGCGGCCTCGATTGAACTCTCCCTGCCGTTGTGGGGCCGGGGCAGCCAGGTCCCGCCGTCCCCATCACGCCCGCAGCAGCTCAGGCCACCGCAGCATGCCACCTGCGTCGGGCCTTTCTTCTGTCCAAAGTCGCTGTTTTTACACAGGACATCAATGCTGGGAGCTGAACCGTAGTCGATGGTACAATAAAGTGATAATGAGCTGAAGAGGGCTAAAAACCCAGCCTGGTTTTCTTTGTCACGCTCACTGAAGCCCAAGTGATCCAGGCGGCTTTACTGAGATGCTGGGCAGAAAGTGGGGACCATTACAAGACCCCGCTTTTCGGCTATGGCGCAGTCAGCCTCTGAAGTGAGCACAAAGTCACCACGCAGAGCTCGGGAGCTGTCTTCAGCTCGATCCAATGTCCTGTATCTACACTACAAAGGCTTTTCTTTTTCTTTTCAAAACTGGGGAAGAGCTGGCATTGCATCCAGCTGAAGGGCATGAGAGGCATCAGCGGGGGACGGCTTTCGAAAGGGAAAGCAGACCACGCGCACGATCTGACCAACTCTGCCTGGCTCTCGCAGTGCTATTTATGCCGTGATTGACATATTTGATGAAGCAACACCGTATAATCACCCACACTTGCACATATTTAAAGGGGAAAAAGAGGCAGCTGTACATTTAGAAGAACGATCAAGTGAGCTCTACTTACCATAGCAACTTCCTGCAGTATATAAAAATATTAACCTTTTGCACCCAGCTATTGCTAGCAGAGCTTTCCTGTGTGAGGCTTCGGGAGAGTCCTGTTAGCTATTTTGCAGAAGGAGAACAAAGAGAACTAGCCTTTGTAACTGGTGATGGCACAGAGAAACTGTAAAAACAGTTCTGAGTCCACCTCTGGCAAATAATTATTGCTTTTTCTTTCCAAAATGAAACACTCATCCCCTCTAAAAGACCTTCAGCCAAAAACCAAAAGAATTGTTTCTTTTTACTTTTTTTAAAAATTACATTTACGCCTAGCATTGAAATATTATGTTGGGGGAAAAAAAGCGAAACATTTTGCTTTGAAAATGTCAAACAATTTGTTTTTTAAAAAATGTCGTGTTTTAATTACCAGCCTCAAGCTATGTTAAGAAACCATTTGAAAGAAGTTGTATTTTGCAGGGCTTCTAAGAAGATTAACTTTGTCAGTTAAATATTTTATACTCACGTTCCAGAGACAGAAATAACCACAGAAAGTGCAAGATGTGGAAGAATTAAATATTCTAATCCTAACACTTCTACTGTGTAAGAGGAATCTAGTTCAACAACCATAAGGGTCATTGAAAAAAATGTAAAATAAAGACCGAAGAGAAAAATGAAAACCTTAAAAGTTAGAGTTGAAGACATTTTATAAATATTTCATCTTATTTCAAACATACAAACATTATATAAACTAAACAACAGGAGACAATAGAACCGCCTAAGGAAAAGATAAAACTCAAATGGGTGTAAACAGTCCTCTCAGCAACTTTGGGCTGCAAATGATGCCAATTTGCACTACAGCAATGAGCTGCTGAAACAGCTCCCTAGGAGTCAAGAAGCAACAAATCTAACTGTTTTTAAAATGGCACTCGGTTTACGGAGGGATTGCACAGCATTGCCACTCAGTGTAGCAGGATCAAACTCAGCCCAAGAGGTGACTCGCAGCCACACGTTCCCAGGAACAGGCAGATGTGCACAAATCCACCGCAGCGATATACAGATGGCGGAGGCAGAGCAAAGGGGACCTTGACATGAAAAAGTCCATTAAAGAGTCAAGGCCAAAGCTGGGAGCAGAAGGCATGACTGAGATTCCTGCTCCAATGCTGGGTGCTAGTCTTGACCATTTCAGTGCATTAAAAGCTTTATAAATGCTTATATGTTTATAAATAGCAAAAATATTTTTTAAAAGTTTCGAGATTGATTGAGTGGAAGTTCATATGTAGAAATGTGTTTGTTTATTAGACTCCATCTACACTTTACTTAGTTCTAGTCATGTGATTTCCTAGCTGCAACATATTTTTAGAGCGTTTATTAAAAGCATAATGTGGAAAAAAAACCCTACTTATGAGGCAGCGAATTAACATTAGTCAGATAAAACAAAACATCTCTTACCTAGATGTTATCAGTTTTCCATAAAGCCTTTTAGAAAAGCAATACCATATTCTACCAAAAATGAGAAATATTTAAAAAGGAAGATAAATGAAAATTACAGCTGTTTTATCAGACATAAAGATAAAATAACCCTCTTGCCAAATCCAAACTGCCCAACTGTCTTCAAATTAAGGGTGTAGCTAAGCAATACAAAAAATAAAGTACATTAAGCAAATATAATCTTTTCCCGTACACATGGACCCCACTGAAGTTCCTATGTGTGTTGTTTAAGTAGCTAGTTCACAGTGTGAAAGGTCTGTCAGCAAATATTTTGTGATACTTGCTCCTTACATTCCTTTTGTTAAGTTTTTTCTGTTACACTTTGCAAAACTTCACAGTTTTCCTCTGCCTGTGCAATATTTATAGACTTAATCTAACCCTCTCACTTAGGTAGATGTCTTCAGAGTTCCCTTAAGGCCTAGATTAGCAAGGCTGTATTTTACTGAACATGGGTAGCATTTAAAAATGAGTAGGATAAATGAATATTTGCAACTGATGTTTTATAAAGCGTAAAATTACTTTTTGAATGCTTCTCCTATTTGCTTTCATATTGCTTCTTGAGCCTCAAGGAGCGAAAACGTTCTTCTTGATATGCATACTTTAAAGTGATTTTCTATTTCCATGCACAACCCCAGGTATTTTGCAGGCAGGTAGGACAAGAAAATATTTCAACACCAAAGCTGTCTGGGATCAAAATCTGTCCCCTCCTGTTCCTGTAGCAGCCTAACTGGAGAGGGGCAACTGCTGCTGTTGATCACTGGTGCACCACAGGCCAGCACTCCCCCTCCACTTTGTGGCTACAGTTACACGGATTTGAGCCACGAGATGCAGGTTTTTTGGAACCTAAAAGCTGTAGGGCTTTTTCTTTCAACCCACTGGTTTTTAGAAAAATGCCATGGTTGCTGTCAGGCGTCACCTGCTTTCTGACCGGTTTTTCCTGCTTGGCAGCAAAGGAGAGCAAAAGTTGAAGGGAGGCAGTAGCCTAGATGTGCAAACTCTCTGGGGATCCTCGAGCTCCCGATCCTCGCCTTGAGGTCCAGCAGGATCTCCAGGTGGCACCTATACAAGCAAATAAAACAGGGTTGAGCACGCCAGCACCAGGCCAGCACTGTCTGCCCCTTTCAAGAGTCGCCCCTCCTTGGCACCGTTTGGGCACATGCCCATCGGCAGAAGCGGGGTCTGATCCCTGGCATGCCACAGGGCCCCTCAGGGCAACCTCTTCAGGAGACACCTGGGCTATTGCAGCTTTTCTGGGGCCACGTCTCCTTGGGGCAGTGAGGGGCAGCGAGGGGCAGCAGGGAGGTAAAGGCAGCTGGCTGTGTGGTTTTGCTTTGAGCCTGAGCAGAGGCAGTTTCGACTTTTCTGAAAGGAAATGTTTTCTGAACTTTCTCACTGCCAGATGCATCAACATGTTTAACTTCCCTTCCGAGGAGAACATATTTTCCCCACAGTATGTTAGGACCTCTGCACGCTCCAGCCCAGCTCATGTCTTGAACCTGCACTTCCCGATCTCAGCCTTCCTCTGACACATGTAGGACAAAGGCTACTTCTTCTCTGTTCAAGTCCTGTATGGACCCCAGCTTTGCGACACTGGAGTAAGCGCTTGCCATAGGCAGACCCATGGGATCTTCCACTCGTCTGTGAAGTGGTCAGAGCACAATTTTTTACACCTCACGTTTCTGACTTGCTGACCCTGACCAGGGCCTTTGTCTAACACTTCTTATTCAATGGCCTCTTAGTGTCTTTAAATAAAACTGTTAAAATCCAAGCCTGTAAGGAAACAACTTTTTATCGTGAAATTCTCCTGCGCAGTCTTTTCAGCTTCAATAGGCTGCAAACCAAAATTCACTTCCTACACCCCGTTTCCTCCTCTTCCTCCCTGCCCTTCGTTCAGCATTGCTACAAAGGGCCAGCAGCACCAGCACCCGCATTAACACAGTCTGTTTAAATCTGTTGAACAGAAAGGCAGGCGAAAGTTCTTATTGGAGTGGCCTGGAGCCTCTCTTTCCTGTTTTCGATACCGACTCTGATTATTTTTGGGAAACGGCAGCTCTCCAACGGGGAAGTGCAATGCTGGGCGCTCTGGCCCGATGACTCCTACTGGATCCCCTACATGACGGTGGTTGCTTTCCTGGTGTACTTCATTCCTTTGATCATTATCAGGTAAGTCTGGTACCGGGAAGAGAACTGTAGTCAGCGACTGTGTGGTGAAAGCTGTTGAGTGTGCAATCAGTTTTAACGCTTTAATTTACCTCATTTATTAGGTTTTCATTTCCATACCTGCCTTAAAGCTGCTTCGGTTGCATCACATGCTGCACAGGTCACTGTAGATGGCCGGGGTGCTCTCCACATGGTATTAATAGCTAGAGGCATTTTTTCTGAACAAGAACTGAATCTTCAAATGTGTCCACTTATCTCTAGAGCTTTAGGCTTGAAATATATCTTTACAAATACAGTGTACAAGTATTATGACAAAGCACAGATTTAATGTAAGAACAGAAACTGCACTTATTCTAGTTACAACAAAATGAAGCTCTCAAGCTTCATTGTACTAGAATTATATTTATTCACCAGGGTCCGGAAGAAACCCCCAATAATTTGAGGCTGTCAAGCCCATTTTAAAAAGTGAACAAACAAAATCCTTCCCATTTTGTAATGGGAAACCTGAACCACAACTATTTAACACCAATGTGCCCAAAATCACAAAGGCAATCAGGAGCAGCATGCCGTTTTAAACTGTGGTCAGTCAGTATCCCAAACCCTGCTCGGTGCTCTGTGACTGTTATTGCCTTCCTCTGGGGCCACTACCACTAGCCACTTTGTTTTGAACAAAAATTATTTAGCCATGAGGAGCTACCAGTACAAAAGCACAGTCAAAAACTGCTGTGGAACCACCTCAAGAGCCCTGAGGGGCTGGCGGTGGCGGCAGCTTCTCCTAGCAGAGCCCAGATGTACTCTTTTCCTTTTTGCCTCTTTTTTCCCCTCTTTCAGCACAGAAGTTCCTCATGTCTGTCTCTCCTTTTTAGTGGTAAAGACAACTTGCTGGGATGCCTTTCTTTCCTGTAATTTGGTGTCAAGCTTTTTGGGCTATGAAGGAAGAGCGCAGGTCCTGCAGACACCTCTCATGGCCGCGCTGCTTTTCTCGCGCGCGCAGTGGGCAGCGAGCCAGGCATCTCCCTCAGCTGCCTGCTCCATCCGTGCCCTTGAGGGGAGCAGGTGGTTTTGGTCTTTCCTACACGATGACAGAACTAGCGAGATAAGCTAAATACTAAAGCCTGTGCTCTTTTTTTAAGTTCCTTTTCAACTGACTTGGGCCTCGAAGTTTCGTACAGTTTAATCACAGAGATTTAGTTCTGCGGCTTCAGTCAACTCATCTAGCTGACTTTTCGATATGGAGTCAACGCTGGCCAGTGTTGCTCCCTAGAGCGAAGGGACAACTTTTATACTTTGCTTATAACACATTAATTTGCTAAACCTTCCTTTCTTTGTGTCAGATTGCACAGATATAAACAATAAACAAACCTGTTCTTAAACAAAGAATATCATAGCAGTAGAAAGAAAACTCCTCCCGGATTATCCAAATGCTCTTCTTTCCTAGACAGGATCATTCCTTCCTCTCTGTTGTTCTGTATCTTAAAACTAGCCTAGTTTAAAAAAAAAACCAAAAATTAATCTTGGGAACATGCGAATAAAGATGTGGGTGAACCTGCAGCCCACCTTTACCAGTAGACAGAATAAACACACGTAAAAAACAAAAATAATTTAACTTTGTGCAACCAATGACTCTAGAAGAACTTGAGGCCAGCAATTATTTGTGGAGTTTTGTTCTGCATTTTCTTAAATGGTTAACAATCAGGAAATCTGATCCAGCATTTTAAAATGTTTCAGGGAAAAGGTCTACAACCCATCAACTTATCGGTCATTCCCTAGATGCATAAAAATCTCTCTTTCATACTCGCATTTGCAGAAATGCACACTTGTCATCACAGATCAGCCACTCTCTTTTACATACCACGTATACATTTTTGGCAACAAAAGGCTTCTCCTCCCTGTCAAAAAAGATATTCAAACCAGGTCAGCTGACACAAGAGGAAGGAGATGCAGCGTGTCATGAATTCGCCCTGACAGTTGAGACACAAAGAAAACGTCCTAAACTTTTGGCAGCTGTAACCTCAAGTGACTTTCACACAAGAAGTTTATGGCACGACAGGAACTTAAAGCACCAGCCTCCGCGCCACAGGGCAGAGCGCTGCCCATCGCCTGTTCAAACGTGTTTCTGAGTTCAGCATACGCTAACGCAAGTGCTGAGGTCAAATTATTAACAGGTCCTAAGTGCTAGGCACTGCGAGGAGGGAAGGGGTGGGAACCCTGGAAGAATTTTTGTGCCCATGTGTCTCTACATGTCAGTGATATTATTTTCTTCAGAATAGAGAGAGAGAGAGAGAGAGAGGACTAAAACCATTTAAAAAGAGGATTACCATCAGGACAAAATCAGCAGAGACACCATGAACAACACATGCCATCCAGTTTAGAAAGAAATGACTATTTTTTAAACTATGTTTTCCAGTTTTGAATTTCCGAGCATAAAACTGAGGGCTGCAACTGCCCAGCTGATGCTTCTGTAAAACATTTGTCAGCGTAGCCTCAAGGCACATTGTCTGTTCCTCTAAAATTGTTGGCAAATCCTGGAGTTTAAAACTCATCCACCTAATCTGGCTGCAACATGTAAATACCCCGGTATGCAGTTTGCACCTAAAGGATGTCTGGAACGGCTGCTAACATGTGCAGAAACTCTCTTTCTCCTCAAAAGCACTGTTTGACTTAATACTTTCAGATGCACAGTAAATTTGATTGCCAAAGAGACACTGTTTCAAAAGGGTGAGAGAGATACCAGATAGGTTCTAGCTACGTGCTACTCTATTGAAAGGTTAACTATAAAAATGAAATGTGCTATTTAGTAAATTAAGGAAGGCATTTTATGAAGATTCTGTAAAAAATGCCATAACATGACAGCGGAGACACAGTCAATAAATGTGTAACTGAAAATCAAGAAATAGTATCTAAGAAGCAGGGAATAAGACTAAATATGTAGTCGAGATGCATCCAGCACTTACTGAGGAAGTAAAGCTTCACAATGCAGGCAGCACGCAGAGAAAGAGTATGGCTTTTTCTGTAATAATTCAGTTTTGTTTGCACAACTACTTTATTTTCTCCTCCACAGCATTTTGATTGAACTGCACTGCAGGTGCACGACACAATTTGGGACACTGTTCTGGCGGGATTAATTCTAAATTAGTTCCACCTCCTGAATCTGTAGAAAGCCTGTTCACTCCAGAGCAAAGTAGTTTACTGATGGCAGCACTTTTTCTGGGGCCGTTCATCCAAAGTGCATACAAGAGAGAAAATTCTACTTTTCAGGTGCCAAACTTCACCCTGTATTAAATATGCCACTTTGGCTGAGCAGTTTTCCCTTGTTACAGTCCAGGTACCATCATCTTTTAAGCTTCTCTCATCCAACCACTCACTCGTAGCGGAGCTGATTCCGTGTGCTCCTGACACACCGTTCAGCTAATTCACAGGGACTTAGGTTACTCATAACATCCCAGCACGTGAAATGAATTATTTAGTTGATAACCTTCACGTTCATTGTGAAAAGCCCTTCCACTTATGAGATAATCCTCCTGACGCAATGTGAGCAAACCCTACAGATTCCAAGCCAAAATGAGAACTATAAGAAAACAACAATCTGTCTGTCTGTCTCTCTCTCCCTCTCTTTTTCTTTTTAACAAAAGGGCAATCTACTAACAAAACTAGAACCGTCCAGAAAGACTTGTATTGTAGGAAGGTCTGTTCCTACCACTTCTTCACAACCGGGGTCTCAGCAATCATTTATCATGTAGTTTGTGGTTCTACAGCGAACATTATGTGTGATTATAATAAGAATGAACAAGACCTGAATACTGAAAAGATAATGAAAAGCTCCGATTAAATTTTTAACCCAAGTGTGTGGTTAGCTTTGAGAGCTGAGAAAAGGAAAGTTTTTTTTAGTGTTTGTTCTTTCCATCTAAAAGCTCCCCTTTTTCCTTAGTGTTGGTTAGAGCCAAATAACCTGCATCGTGTTCTTCCTTACAGCATTTAAAATTTTGACCTGTTTTTCCTTCTTGTTTATAATAAACTTTAGACTAAACTGCCACTTATTCTGTAGTTTATATTGTCAGCCTACCAAAAAGATCAGAAAAATGAATTAGGCAATCTGCAGTAATATGTTCTCTCCTATGTTTGGACAAGTGTCACCAGCTATAACCAAAGCCATTTATCCCACACTGAGAAATGCCAAGCAAATCTCAGAAAGAGATATTTAAGGGTGCATGTGTATATATATATTTTAATATATATATAAAAAATGTGTGTCATATATTTATATATATTTGGCATTGCTGAACAGAGGTTAAAGATAGGTCAAATCAAGCGTACAGACTTCTCTCCTATAAACATTTGTACCTGGCTCTCCCAGGTGCTGTGATGGGGAAACAAGACCGTTATGGGCTTTCTGTTCTGTATCACTGCTCTGTGCCAAACTATAATTATATTCTGTCATTTGGATATTCAGAAATTCGGCTTTGTTCTTTTTAGCTGTTATTCACCAATAATATATTTTCTGTATTTTAACTTCACAAATGCAATACATAGATATTTATCTAATATAATTCCAGATGCAAGTTTTAAAAATCGCAGAAGTACCTCTTGAAGTATAGTGAAAAAAAGATCTATCCACCATTTGAAATCAAAATTCCAAAGAGAACATTTGCTTTGGAGCAGAGGAAAAATAACTAGAAGGGAAAAAACATAATAAATTAAAAGATAAAATACAGAGCTCAAAACAAGGCACTTCAATGAGATAAAGAGTAGATGAAATAAATAGCAGTTGTCTGAACTAAATAGTAAGAATAAAAACCACATTAATAACAATAACAAAGGTATTTTTTGAGCTTGACTCAACGATTGCAATCGTGTTTGCCTGCAATTTCCACTTAAAAATAAAAAAGCCTAGGTCTTGCACATATCTACCTGTTATTCACTCATCTATTACATATGCCTACAATCATTTGTCTGGATAAAGTTACATATGATTTTTGCCTTGGATAAATGATCCTTTAAATTAGCTACCATAAAACATAATGCAGTTGCATTACAAATAAAACACAAGGAAAAATAGCCAACGCTGGATGATAAACGCAATTAGTAGGGAACTTAAAGTACCCTTACTTTTTGGCATTGTAAGGGCTCACTTTACTAGTAAATGTTGAGACTGGATGGGATGCTATCATAATGCAACTAGTTAATGTAAAATTTAAAAAGTCTGTGCGTAAAGAGTAGGCAGATCAATAATTCTTATAATGATTGTTAATGTAAAAACTTAGCTTAACCAGCAGACATTTTATTTTTCAAAAGAAAAATGATCTAGAAATTAAGAAAAGACAGAGTGGGAATTGACTCACAGTAGGATTTGTATGACTAAACATCAGTTAGTTAGTTAGTTACAGTAGCAAGGACTGCTGTAATTACTGATGGAGTATGAATTAACCAGTGCCATTAACTAATAACATGCTACAATGAACAAGCATCTTAGTTCTTCACAATTTGGATCAAGCTAAATTGCTTTTGGAGATGCAATGAATTTAATTTGCCAAGTTACATCCACAGTCTGAAACATATTCTTTTATTTTTCTGCCACCTCTACACAGGTAGGTGACTTCTCAGGGCCAGAAAAAAATCACTATAATTTCAAATCAACAGCACGTCCTTTCTATCTTGTCATCACCACAGTCTGAGCAACTCCTTCTCAAAAAGGATTGGATTCGTTTTCAGCCCAGATCTGACTACTTCATCTGAGCGCTTTCCTCCCTTTTTTTAGCCCCTCAGCTGCAAATAATGGGCCATAACAACTCAGATATTATTTTAATATCATAGTATGTATTAAAATCTTTGCGACCATAACACATATATAGCCCTCAAGAATCACCGGTTAGGGCTTGAAGAACAGTGCTCTAAGCACATACAGAAACAAAGAAATCTAGTAAAATCTGGACCTAATGAACCATACATCAAATCTCCCAGTGGCAACAAGAACTCACCCAGCAGCACAGCAGGTGGCACACAGGCAAATTTTGAAGTTCCATGTGTTGGAAAATAAGGTTTTTACAATTACAGGCTTGCCCTGCATGTGTGTATGGTCTGCTTGTACCTCTTGACAGTGAATACTAAGGAACTTGGTAACAAAAGGAGAAAACCCAAAGACTACGAAGGGACAGAATGGTGCACACCGTTGCCCAACACACTCCTGTCCATCTGAATACCAACTCTCACCTGTCCACCTCTTATTTGTCCAACTGCCATTTCATTTTTCATCAAGCAGGAATTTCTTCTTGCCCTTTAAGATTTTACCAACCACCACTTACCCCTCTATCCACCTTTTAAAGGAAGAAAAGCATCTACAAGCACATTCTGCAAGAAATCTTCTTTTCCCTTGAAAGCAAAATACACCTTTTGCTCCATAAACATCTACTTTCTTGTTACGGCTTTGAAATACCTCAGTAGGTGCCTTCGATGTTCTTCAATTTTGACTGATACATTTCTAGAAACTCCAGTTGTTTAGCTCTGTGCCACAACAGCAAGAGAAAAAAAGATTAGGCATTAATAAGATCTGGAGTCCTGGAAAGATCAAGGTATCAAGGCACAATTATGGCTGGCAGAGTAGCCACTGAGAAGTGTCCCTAATGTGACAAGTGATTCCTCTTTCCTCAACAGCAGTGTCCACCACTGCTGGACTCCTCCCAATAAGGACGGCTCCTGTAGACCCAGTTATAGAGAAAAGAGGAATAGAGGCAAAAACAGCAAAATAAATCCATTATACTGGCAACACTTTTTAAGTCCCTGGATTATACCAGGAATTACCTTTGCCCTGCACTTCTGAAAATTAAGGATTCCCGTGAAGAAGCATGTAACTCGTACATGAAATGACAAGTGTATGCCAGGGCCCACTGTCAAACCCCTCTACTGGTATATTAAAAAGAAAGCTGCTATATCTGCATATTGCGAAAGGCTTGCTCTTATCAAGCTCTGCAGCCAAGAGGGCAGGATTTCTATGGCTGGAAGGAGAGCAAGTGAGAAGCCTGTCCTCATAATTCAATCATTAGGGCACATGGCTGAAAGTAGGAAGTCTGAATATTTCACCTTTCTTCTCATTGCCATGTATACATTTCACATTGAACTGCCATTAGGTAAAAAAAAAAAAAAAGAAAAAAGAAAAAAGGCAAAAAAAAAAAAAAGCCATAAAGAGTGTCCAGGACCTGCTCTCTCTCATCAGAGCATCACTTAACTTCAGAGTTAGGCTCCTTCATCCTGGTGTCTGGGCATCCTGTCTGGGATGTGTCCAACAGGATCTAAATCAGAGAGGATATGATTCTGACTGCATATGAAAGGAACAGTCTAGCGATATCAGGATAGTGATAAAATGCAAATAGGATTCATAGGAGTTGGGCAGACATTTTCTTAAAATTTTCTTGAGATAACGACAATTATCATTATAATACATTCTTATTCATTGGAACAATCAAAAGAGAAATGATGCACCAATTTTCAACTATTGTCAGTACAAAGTACAAAGGAACTCTCAAGTGTACCAGCTGATAAACAAACAGGTTCTTGAAAAGCCAGAAGATAAAAGGAAAATGTTTGAGTCAGCTGGGAGCCATGCTGGACTTCTGAAGGGATTAAAAAGGGCAAGCTGGAGTCCGTGGCAGATGCATACAAAATCCTCCCAGAGTAAGTATGCTACTGCCCTGCTGCACAGCCCCGACGTCACATCAGACCTCCAGCTCTCACCTACCGTGTCCGGAAACGTAATGGCTCAAACCTGCACAAAAAGGAAACCTTCATCACACACAAATACTACCCTTGCAAGCGTATCCAATAATGAGAGTGCTGCAGGAAAGGCTCGTATATTAGTCTGAATGCTCTCATAAGAATAATTTCTCTTTCGATAATAAAAAAGTCATATGATAATATACCAATCATCTCTTGGTCTCTGTAAAACCCCTAGAATTAGCCTCCAAATGCTCTCATAAGAATAATTTCTCTTTTGATAATAAAAAAGTAAGTCATATGATAATATACCAATCACCTCTTGGTCTCTATAAAACCCCTAGAATTAGCCTCCGGAGCTGCACCCTTTTCAAAGACTCACCAGTAAGGCTTATAGCAATTAATGCTCAGGCTGCCCCAGGCCCAGCCAAACACCATGGCGTACAGCAAACTGCACGTGACAATTTCTGTTATGACACTGGGTTTTTATACTGGGAAAACATGGCAACCCAAGTGCATTAGCTGAAATATATTAATTTTTTTTAACCTGCCCTACCCAACTAAAAAGGAAATTACCACTCAGAAGTATGTTTTTGCTTAGTGATTTTACCCGTACATTAGCCAAACTTGCAGGAGGAAAGGGACACAAAATAAGCCCTGATTTTTGTGGTTTTGGGTTTTTTTAAATATATAAACTGCTAAAAGGGTAACATCTTCATCCAGTATGTGGGTTCAAACAGTTCTTCAGCTGAAAGAAATTCTTTTTACCCATTCAGTAATAAATACATTCAATTCCACAGTTCTTATCACCTAGGGAAAGGCCATATTTATCCAAGGTTGTTGTGAACTGGAGCACTTTTCATCTTTCCCATTAAAAGCATATGTATATTCTCTTCAACTGTGGAGGATCTGATTTTGTATCATTTAACTCTTCCCACCCACCTGCTACTTTTGAGCTCCTCAATTTCACTCCTAGGACCTTGATCCAAAAAGCAAGCACTGCAGTACTGGCATCTTCTACTGGATCTTGCCCTTACCTCCTTCATTCAGGGTACCGATTTATTCTTTAGCCTCACATTCCCAAAGTAACCCCAGAACAGACCTTTACACCCACCCACACTAGGCTTCCCAATGCCAGCAGTCCCCCAGCTTGCATCTCCTATTTCAGGGCTAGTTTTCCCTTTGCACCTCCCACGGAAAGCACGCGCAGGCCCACATGGGAATCAGGTGCCTCCTGGGTGGAGCTGGTAACCAGGCAGACTTGGCCCCAGCTGGCTAGAAACTGCCAACAAACAACGCCTGTGGGATCAGGGCTGAATCATTTCATTTCTCTGCATCTCAGATTTAACATCCATAAAGCCAGGACAACGACAACAGCTCCCATCGTGAAAACGCTTCAGGTCTGCTTGTGCAAACTACTACAGGGGAGTCATATTTTGTCTGTTATTGCTGTTGTTGTTATTATTACTCTGAAGTCCTGCCACCTCCATGAGCTCCATACAGATAGATATGTATATTCACTCTCTAGCTGCATGAGTCAAATCGGGACTGTCCCACCAAATCTGGGAATATCTGAACACACAACGTTGCATCGGCCTCCAAGTCTCCCTATGATGGGAACAGGTTTTCTCTAACTGCTCATTCATACCTCCTTTTTATCATGTTTACTGTCTCTCTTTTGACACTAAATCCCCATTTGCAAAATGATGAAAAACATATGCAAGAAAAGAATTAAAAGGTAAAAATCCCTATTCTGCCTAGAACCTTTGCCCATTTCTAGATTTAAATTTTTTAGTAGATATTTGGTAAGCATTTAGATAATATGCTGCATTTTTACATGCTCTTGCAATTGTGGATTTTGATCAAGACAGCAAACTCCTGAATGCTAAAAAAAAAAAATTAAATAAAATGAACCGAAATTTCCATCCCAAGACCATAAACTTGCTTGGACTGTTCTGAGCTAAAGGATCTGAACACAAACCACTAAAAAGTGCAAGATCCTCACTTGACAGCTGTCATTCCTACCCTTAGTCACGCAAAAAGGTCCTCTGAAATCACAAACTGGCAATGCAGACAAATAGAGTCATAAGAGTTTCTCAGATGAACCATATTAACTAACTTTGTTGCATGCTCCTAAACATCTGAAACTCCAAAGAATAGTATGTTTCTTTTCACTAATGCATTTTGCAGCACAATTGTAAGAGGATAGTGAACACAACCAGTTACTGCACCTAAGTGATGAGTGGTAACGCATCAAACTGTGGTGACTATGTTTGCTGGTATGTGCCTTTAGTAGGATCATGTCTGTCACAGGACAAAGCATCCTGACATGACGCTGCACCTCCTCCAATATCCTTGCACCATAACCACCTATCTCTCAATTATAATCTTGCAAAAATTTACTCCTCCTTTGAAAGGCTTACGCAGGACCAATTTTTAACCATTCTGCCTCAATGACACAATTGGTACCAAGTGGACTTGAAAAAAATATCAGCCTTCTCTGTCAGAATAAATATCAGGCTGAAAAAATATCAGCCTTCTCTGTGGTATATTCTGCTCTGTGAGCCAATTGGTACCAAGTGGACTTGAAAAAAATACCAGCCTTCTCACCTAAGTGGTATATTCTGCTCTGTGAGCCACCAAGTAACTTCCAGTAATATTAAGTATGGACCATTTCCAAGCTTCTAGATGGGATGTTTCACTGACAAAAATCCCACCTTACCTTTATTTATATTTTCTTCTCACATATTACGCAGCCTTCATGTGCTGTTTTTAAAGAGGTGCAAAAAATTATGTGCACAGAGTTATTTCTGATGACATTCATCAAAATTCCAGATCTAAGTTGGGACTACAGGAATTTAGAGATATTTTGATAAATATGTCCTTCTTGCATATTTACTGACAGAAAATTAACTGACACAGCAACTTAAACAGCATACTGACATTAATAATGAAATCAAGCATATTATTACAGTCGTGCTAGTACTGTTATTCAAATACAGAACTTGATTCTCAGAGACATTAGCGTGACCTCAAAGGAAATGAGATCGACCAGCCTTGGTGTGAGACAGAACAGAATTTTCTTCTCAATTCAATACACACATCCTTTCTGAAAAGCTAGTCTAGCAGCATTTCTTCTTTCATTACTGAGCCAACACGAAGAGTAAAATGCTCGATTGATTATCTATCTAAAGCGTCAAAAGGAGTTAAAGGTTAAAGGAATGGAGTTTGGAGCTTTTAACAACCTTCTAATTGAAATGCATTTAAAAAGTGAACAGGTAGTCTGTTTTGCCAGGTTATTTCTTATGTTTTCTTCATTACGATTGTCAGTTCCTTCCGCAAAATGTTTCTTGTAACACTGCTGTGGTAGCATGTTGGTACCTGTGATAGCCAAATGGTTAACAGACTAACTGATATACTTGGGCGCAGAAGCACAGTTTTTCCTGACTGTGCACCCAAGCGCCGAGGATCACAATGCCCCCACGCTGCAGGAAGATTTGCTCTGCTTCCATTTCCACGTCTGATTTTGGATGGCTGAGGTTTGTGAGTGCCCAACTTGACTTGCAAGTGTCTGCATTTCAAGAAGGGCTGATTCCTGACCGACACCTGGGAAGGACAAGCCATGTGCTGCTGTCCTGACCATAGCGGCATGCATTGCGAGATGCCTGCATCACCCCTACTCTTTTACCAGCTGAACTGTTTTTTTTTTTCCCAGATGGCCAAATCTCTGCCAGCTACACCAACCGTGGCTTCATATCCAGGGCGAAAGTGAAAGCCATCAAGTACAGCGTTGTAATTATTCTTGGTAAGTGAAAATCCTCGCAGCTGGTAGCTATGGAGGATGCTGGAGATAGGGAGCTAGCCTTCCTTGGCTCCCTCCATCGTCAGTGGAGGGGGTAAAGCGCAGGGAATGACTTGGAAAAGGCGCTTTATTTAGACCCCTGACTTGCCTTCTGACCTTGTCCTCCTCTCTCCACTGACTGATAGGCACCTAATTTAGGCATCTGACATACGCCTCAGAGGAAGTGATCTGCACAGCCCGTCATGTGCATGTAAGAGAATAAAGGAGCAGGCATTACTAAAAAAAGGAACAAAGGAAAGGGCTGTCCCTCCTTGTAATCCAGGCTGCCAGAAGACTTTGCAGCTGAGCTGCCTTTTAAGTTTAGAGAATACATATGGCATGCTGGCAGCTGGGGCAGCGAAACGGAAGGGAAGGGGAGGAGGGAGATGCAGAGCCGTAGAATCTGATGCTGCTGCTTGCCTAGGTGGGGACAACGAGCTCTCCTTCCCCGACCAGGCAGCAGATGACTCAGTGCAGGCGTCCTCTGTCTCCCAGGGAGATGACATTATCCTGATGGAGTTAGGAGACTGACATTATGTCTCGATAAATAAAGGCAGTGTCATGCAGGGCTTGTGATTAGCTACCAGAGACGGGCAGGAAGGCAACTGAAGCGACTTATTCCCGAGGGCTGACAGCCGTCGCCTACCACTGAAAAACAGACCAGTGATCGTTCCTCTTTCCAATCCTGAACAAAATTCAGATTGATTGATTTTGTAATAATAGCTGCTAGTGAGGTGCTTAGTTCCCTGTTTAGCAGTATTGTGCGTAGATGTGAGAGATCCTGGGGTGGTCCATGCTCCTCAGAAGACCAAGTACACTTTCGCTGTGTCAGACCCTTTCTGTGCACCAGTCACACAAAGCTTGTGGCAGAAATGACTCCTATAACCACGCCATCAGATGGTGAGAGCTCAGCGGGATACTGAATACTTCAGAGGTCCATGAGAATATTAGGCACTCCACATCTCTTGGCATGCAAACAAGATTAAGATACCTAACGATCTTAGATTTCTTTAAAGTCATTTAAAATTGTGCACAGTCAGTACTACGATTCACACACTGATGCTGCATATTGCAGTTTTACTGGTCTGTGTACAAAGACACGATTGGGTTGATACTCTAGAAAACAGGAGGATAGTTCACCTCTTCCTTGCACATTCAGTGAGTGCTCAGTTAACTGCCAACTAAGAAATGCGGTTTGATGTAACAAGAAACAAAACATGGGGTCACTCTGTTGTCTCGTTTGGATCCCCTAGAGATTGCATCTTTGATTGCAGAGATAACTGTACCTTTGCCCGCCCTGAACTTACAGGTTAGACTTGCAGCTCTCCATCCCAGCGTTTCTATGTAACTCTTTAATCAGCAGACTTTGCGAGAGGAGACAACACAGCAATTCATCAGGCACAGATTCAGTCCCTATGCCTGCAAATACAGGTAAACCTGTGGCCTCTTCATATCTGCCACCTCTGAACAAAAGCAGGGGCTATGAACAATGCAGTCCTCTTTTCCCTTCCCTAAATTCACTTCTCAAATTGCAGTACGGTAATTAGAAAGTCTTCCTTCATGCTCGGTCTATACACTGCCTGCAACCAGCATGCAAAGTCGTGTGTTGGTCTGCTGTAATTTGGTGTGAAAGAGCGCCATTCCCTGCTCCTGGCTGTCTAAGAGCTTCTTCTTACCAGGCAGTTGCGATAGGCAGCGCTGTCACCGAGCAGCACTTTGGTGGTGTGTACACTGCGGTCGGCTGTTTGCTCAGGGGGCTATTAAAAGAGCTCTTTGCTATAACTGATGATGCTTTAACTGGCTACCTATTTACCCTTTATGAGTTGTGTAGTGTTCACAAGTGCCTTGATATGTCTACAGGGTGTACTCTAAACACTTAAAGGAGCACACATAATATATTTTATGGGCATTAAAATAAAAAAAAAGACAAATAAAAAACACATTCTAATAACTACTCTCTTAAATAAGACCGTGAGCAGGGAGAGAGATTTCTGCATGAACAAATATATATGTGTTATGACAGTCTCTGTGTGTGCAGTTATTACCTCCCTAAATTGCTATACTACCTAACATCAAGCTTTTCCCATCTCTCTCTCTTTCTCTCCACTACAGCGTTTGTTCTCTGTTGGAGCCCCTACTTTCTTTTTGACATTCTGGACAACTTTAACCTACTTCCTGAGACCAAAGAGCGCTTCTATGCATCTGTGATTATTCAGAATCTGCCAGCCTTAAACAGTGCCATCAATCCCCTCATATACTGCATCTTCAGCAACCGTCTCTGCCCTCCTTTCGAGTATCACTCCTTTATTATCACTGTTATTATCCTCTAAAAAGGGTGGGGGGGAGGGAGGGAAGACAGGGGGACACATATACACAGTTGCTAAGCTTTACCAACTATTTACCTATTTTTGCATGTCTTAATTCTCAGCTTTTTTATTTTCTTTAGGGAAAG